TGACTTGAGGTTCTTGTGTTTCAAGAGTCTCCCCCCTCCTCTTTGTTTTATTAATTGTACTTATTTTTAAAATAGGCCTATGTGTATGTGGCCTAACATTCAGAATATACAAAAAGACCTAGAGGGGGGCCCTGGCCGGTTTGGCTCAGCAGTTAGAGCGTCAGCCTGTGGTCCAGAGAGGCCCGGGTTCGGTTCCCGCTAAGGGCATGTACCTCAGTTGCAGTTTGTCCCCGGCCCTGGTTGGGTCGTGCAGGTGGCAGCCATTCGATGTGTCCCTTTCACATTGATACTTCTCTCTCTCTCTCTTCCTCTCTTACCCTCCCACTCTATCTGAACAAAAAATGAAAAAAAAAAAAATGTCCTCGGGTGAGGATTAAAAAAAGACCGGGGGGGGTGGGGTGGCATCTGTAATACTTTCAACAATAAATATTTTTTTAAAAAGACCTGTAAATGAAGTATATACCTTCCTCTGCTCCTATACACCCAGAAGTCACTAATGTTACTGGTTATTTGTGCTTCATATCAGAATCGGAACATTTCTAAGCACCTATATATATATTCTCCACACCCTGTACTTGGGAGTTTAGTATACACAGTGTTCTGTGCCTTTCTTTTTCCATTCACCGTGTTTCTTTCCAAGTCAGTTTGTATAAAGCTGCCTCATTACTTTTAATGGCTATGTAGTGTTCCACTGTGTGGGTGAACCATAGTTAATTTTAAAAGTCTCTCTCATTATCAACACTTAGGGTTTTTAAAAATTATTTTAAATTCAGATATAATTTCTGTACCATAAAATGTACCTTTTTATTTTTATTTATTTATTTTCAGATAGAGTGGGAAGGAGGGAGCGAGAAGGAGAGAGAGAGAAACATCGATGTGAGAAAGACACATCAATTGGTTGCCTCCCATACGACCCCAACCAGGACCAGGACAAACCACAACCAAAGTACCTGCCCTTGACCTGAATCGAACCTGTGACTCTTTGGTAGGTGGGCCGATGTTCTACCCACTGAGCCAAACCAGCCAGGGCATAAAATGTACCCTTCTAAAGTGCACAATTTAGTGGTTTAATTCCAGAATATGTTCATCACCCCAAAAAGAAACTCCTGCCCTGCTGGTGTGGTTCAGTGGATTGAGCGTCATCCCATGGACTGGTCCCAGTTCAATTCCCGGTCAGGGCACCTGCCCAGGTTGTGGGTTCCATTCCCAGTGTGGGACATGCAGGAGGCAGCGATGTTTCTCTCTCTCACACATCGATGTTTTTCTCTCTCTCTCCCACTCTTCCTCTCTCTAAATAATTAATAAAAATATTTTTTAAAAAAGAAAAGAAACCCTATATCCATGACTTCTAGGTTTTTTATAGTCTTGCTAAAACCAGTAATGCTGCACTGGATATTCTTATACACATATTATTGCACACACGTGCAGGAATGTTTGCAGGACAAACTCAGAAATATATTTGCCAAGTGAAATGATGTATGCACTTGAAATTTTGAAAGATATTGCTAACGTGCTTCTCTGGAGTTAGGAGTTTACACTGTCACTACCTAAGTATAAACATTCCCGTTCCCCACTCCCTGACCAGCATAGTTCTTCACCTAACTTCATCTTTGCCATCTGACAGAAAATGGTATCTTGTAATTTTAATTTACAGTAGTCCCCTTTATCCACAAGGGAATACGTTCCAATTCTTGCTTCCCTGTGCCTGAAACCATGGACAGTTGCTGAACCCTCTATATACTATTTTCCCCCCTACACACATATATACTTTATGGCTTCTCTTTGGCATTTCCAAATTGCCAGCATCACTAATCTTGTGCTTTGAGACCATTATAAAGTAAAATAAAGGTGACTTGAACACAAGCACTGCGGTACTGTGACCGTGGCTCTGACAACTGAGGCAGCTACTGAGTAACTAACAGGCAGGGAACATGCGCAGCGTGGAGATGCTGGACAAAGGGACGGCTCACGTGCCTAGGGGGACAGAGCAGGGCAGTGAGAGTTCATCATGCTACTGTGAACAGCGTGCAGTTTCAAACTTACGAATTGTTTATTTCTGGAATTTTTCATTTAATATTTTTGGATTGAGTTTGACCTTGGATAACTAAACCATGGAGAGTAAAACCATGGATAAGTTTGTCTTGTGACCTTTTTAGACTTCCCTCACTCCAAGATTATGGTATACTTCTCTTATTCTAGATGAAGCTGATGATTTTTATATATTTAGGGGCTTTTAGGGGCTATCTTTCCTTTCTTATGAATTAATTGTTCATACCCCTTGCTTTTCTGTAGGGTAGTTTTTTTCTTTCTTTCTTTCTTTCTTTCTTCTTTCTTTCTTTCTTTCTTCTCTCTCTCTCTCTCTCTCTCTCTTTCTCTCTCTCTCTCTCTCTCTCTCTCTCTTTCTCTCTCTCTCTCTCTCTCTCTTTCTCTCTCTCTCTCTCTCTCTCTTATTTATAGCCACTCTTTGTGTATCAGGGAGAAGAGCACTTTGTAATATGAACTGAAGGGATACTTCCCACTTAAGTTTTTTGATTGTTTTAGTTTTGGCTCCGTTTATGGTTTTTTCTTTTATCATGAAGAATTTAAAATTCTATGTCATTTCCCTGGCCAATATGGCTCAGCAGTTAGAGCGTCGGCCCCTTGGACCAAAGAGCTGTGGGTTCAGTTCTGGTCAAGGGCACGTAGTTCAGCTGTGGTTCGGTCCCTGGCCCTGGTTGTGGGCAAGTGGGGGCGGCCAGTCTATGTCTGTGTCTCAGATTAATGTCTCTTTCTTTCTCTCTCTGTCTCTCTCCCTCTCCCTCTGTCTAAAGATAAATGCGAAAATATTCTCGGGTGAGGATTTTTTTTTTTAATGTATGTCATCAAATTTGTCAGTTTTTTCTTTTATGACTGTCTTGTGACATACTTAGACATCCCCCACTCCAAGATTATAAAAAACAATTTCTCCCATGTGTCAGTCTAGTACTTAAAGGTTCTGTTCCCCCACTCCCACCCCAATTAACTCTTAGATTCATCTGAAATTTATTTTTGTGTAAGATGTGAGGTATGGGTCCACTTTCTTTTGTCTATATGGCTAACATATGTTTCCCTGATTTGAAATGTCACTTTTACACTGGTTTTTTATTTTGTTTTGTTTTGTTGGTGGGAAAGGCCAAGTGGATACACTATGTCCTCTTGATTAAAAGTATTATTCAGCCCTGGCCGGTGTGACTCAGTGATTAGAGCCTCAGCCTGCACACCAAAGAGTTCGATTCCCAGTCAAGGGCATGTACCTGGGTTGCAGGTTCAATACCCAGCCCTGGTCGGGGTGTGTGCCAGAGGCAGCCAATCAGTGTGTCTCTCCCACATCAATGTTTCTCTTTCTCTCTCCCTCTCACTCTCCCTCCTACTCTCTTTAAAAATCAATGGAAAAATATCCTCAGGTGAGAATTAACAAAATAAATAAATACATGTTAGCTTTAATTTTTTAAGAGTGGTAGTCAGCTATCTGGGGCAATGATTTCTGAACTCTAGGGGCCCTGCCTAGTGGGGAGCTACAGCCCCTTCCCTACATGACAGGTCCTGCTGCTTTCCTGAGGGCAGTGTCTCACCCAGGTGTTGTGGGCCAAGGGGTGCTTTCTAACCACTCATCTAGGGATTTCCCTTTAGAGGGGGACTTGCATGTCATGCAGCCTTATAAATGCACCTCTTGCCAGAGGCCCATCGAGCGATTTCAGAGTTGTTACTTTAATGAGAAAAGAGCCTTACCCTGGCCGGTTTGGCTCAGCAGTTAGAGCGTCGGCCTGCGGTCCAGAGAGTCCTGGGTTCGGTTCCCACTAAGGGCACGAACCTGCTTAGGGTTGCAGTTTGTCCCCGGCCCCAGTTGGGGTCATGCGGGAGGCAGCCACTCGATGTGTCCCTTTCACCTCAATGTTTATCTCTCTCTCCACTCTATCTGAACAAAAAATGGAAAAATGTCCTCCATGAGGATAAAAATAAATACATAAAAAATAGAGTAACCTGCATGTCATCATCAGAACTTAAAAAAAAAAAAAAAAATGAGAAGAGAGTCTTAACAGGGGTCCAGAAGTAAAGGGAGGCCTTTCCACAGAAAATTGAACACATTTTCACTTTTGAGTCAGTTTCTGATCCTCACACTATCTTCCCACTTTAGAACAATAGGCAAACTGTGCAGCTGTACTTTGGTAACTGTTCTTTGGTGGGCCTTTCCTGGGGAAAGGAGCTACTGGATTAAGCTGTAAGATGGCTGTACTTTGTCACTGTGTAGAGCTGGCGATGGATAAGGATCGGCTCTTTGAAACTGTTTAAAATCAGAAATGAGTGTGGCCCTTTAAAAAGTAGACGTCTCAGGGTGGCACTGAGTATAAAGGCTCATAGAGTTCTATCCAAGGGGGGTGAAGGGGTAGGTAGGCCTGTCTGTAGGGCCCATGCCGCTGACTAGGGCGGGTTCCCGCTGAGCGTTCTGTCAAGTGTTTGAGCAACCCGTGTGGTTTGGTCGGGGGAGGTGCATGATGGCTTTTCATTGCATCCAGTATTGTAAATTGTTTTTATTTGGATACTCAAGGAGTAGCTTGTCACTTTGAACTTTGGGGTAGCAGGTGTCCTCTATGTTTGAAAGTGGCCGTGACACCTGGGTGGAGTGACTGGTGCTGGCTTCCTTTCTCAGTTTGTCTGTTAGTCCTGGGCATCCAGTCCCCTAGAGGAACTAGAACAGGTGTAATGTAGTGAGGGAAGCTGGGATAGTTGTGAAAGTGTTGTGGGTTTTTGGGGGGGTTATTTTTAGGTTATCTTTTACTTACATTTTTATTAATTAGTTTATTCCAGAGAGTGTTAAATACTTTAAAAAATAAACTTACAAAGAGTACAGTGAAACTCTAAATAAATGGTCATGTTGAAGTAAAGAAATAATATCCACTTTATAGGTTTCATTATACATCGTGTTTGCGTGATGTAGTCCAGGTAATCGTGATGTCTGGGACACAGGCGCACGGCATAGTAATTGGCTGATACAGTTCTACCACAGGAAACATCAGAGTTAAGGAGGCCCTTCACACAGATGTCTCTGTAGCTGTTTAATGACAGTTTTTCTGTTTTTCCTTCCTGGGCTATTTTCACTCCTCAAAATTCCTGTTGTGTTAGAACAGTCAGGCTAGCATGCCCTTGAGTAACGAACTCCACATCTGAGTCCTAAGAGCAAATTCCACTTACCAACTGCCCCTTCCACAGTTCTAGCCCTAAGATTACCTTTTGATAAGCTTCTCCACTCTGTCTTCCTGTCTCACACCTCATCTCTCCTGTCCCCTGAAGCTTCACTCGAATGGATTGTGGTCACCCGGAGCATTCAGCGACCGAACAAACTCACCCGCCAACAGGAAGGTCCCACACCCAGGGCTACTTACCCCTTCCAGACCCTTCCTGAGGAAAGCAAGTTTCCTTCCATGTGGCAGGAGTCAATTTTACATTTGTTTGGCCTTGTGACTGATAGGATGGCAGTTTGGGGGAAGCAGAGAGGAGATGGCAGTTTTAAGGGAGAAAAAACATTTAGTAGAAATGATCCCTCTGCCTTCTTCGGGTGTGTCCCTCCTCTGGGCATCTCTTCAGGATTTCATTGCTGTCCAACTGCCGTTCACACACTGCCCTTTCCAACCGCTCCAGAACTCTTGGCCCTGGCATTCCGTGATGTAAGTTATTCCACGCATGGCTCGAAATGGGTGTGAAGCAGTGTTGCCAGGTGTCGGCTCACTAGTGTAAGTTTACCGCATCTCTGGGTCTCCAGGGAGGGAGGAGAAAGGGGGAGAATTGCTCTTGGAATTTGTCGGTTGTTATTGTTTGAGCCAGAACAGTCATTGTGCTGGCTGAGCAGATGCTGCCGATGGCTGGGGCGGGGGGAGTTCTGGGCCCGGAGCTGGCGTGAATTTGGGTTGAGATTTTCTAGTGCTGGGATGTAGATTGTTTGGAATGAACAGTTGGCAGTATTGCTGCCAAGGGAGGAACCTGGGACCTTTGGGGCAAAGTCTGTGGCAGTGCTGCCTGGACGATGATGCCTCTTCTGCCTCGAAGAGCAGGGAGAGCCGGCTTTTCTGTTTCCCTAAAGACAGCAAGAATATGGCCAGAAATCCAGATTACTCACCATGTTTGGAAACAGCTAGTCACAAAATTCAGAGACCTCTGTATCCATGAGATTTTTTTTTTTTTTTCCAAAACAAAAATATTCTTTCTCCCCTTGTTCATGATACATTTTGAGGAAGTTGCTGTTGATGGTTTACAGCCCCTTTGGGGAATCTGCGTGTGATGGGGTCGCTGTCAACTGTCTTTGATTTGTCCAGATTCCTTTCTGACTTGTAAGTTAAGGATTTGTGTTCAATACAAACTATTTAAATTGAATACTTAATCTCTTGAATGACCACCAAAAAACAAAACAAAATCCCATTAATAATAAGCAATTGGAGGAAAAACTCACATGAAGTAGTTATTTATCTAGGAAAGTATATAGTGTATTTATCTAGGAAAGTATATAGTGTATTTTCATGTTGCATGGATGCTACTGGCTTTAATCCACTTTGCTGAAACTGGTTTTTTTTTATTCCTTTTCTTATAGTTGTCATGGATGATGATGATGACTCGTGTCTCCTTGATCTTATTGGGTAAGATGCTCCTTCCAAAATCAGGGTAAATCAAATGTGTGAGGTTCGCTCTACTAAAACAACCTAATGAGCATATTAAACCAGATGGGTTTTTTTAAATAAAAATTAATCGTCATAGCCCTGGCCGGTTTGGCTCAGCGGTTAGAGCGTCGGCCTGCGGTCCAGAGAGACCCGGGTTCAGTTCCCGCTAAGGGCACGTACTTCGGTTGCAGTTTGTCCCCGGCCCTGGTTGGTCGTGAGGGTGGCAGCCACTCGATGTGTCCCTTCACGTCGATGTTTCTCTCTCTCTCTCCCTTCCTCTCTCTCCCTCCCACTCTATCTGTACAAAAAATGGAAAAATATCCTCGGGTGAGGATAAAAAAAAAAAAAAATTAATCGTCATAATGTGGATTAATAAGTAAAGGGACTGATATGAGAGGGGTCAAACTTAGGTAAAGCTTTATTTATGCTTTATTAAATTTATTTTCTAACAAGTCCCAGGAGGCAGAAATGAGTAATAATAGGAAACAACAACACCAAAAAGTAAATAAAAAGTAAAACAAAAAAACTACTAATAAAATTGTTTTTAAATAGGGAGATAATTTTACTCAGGTTATTATGTCATTTTCTTTTCACCCTAGAAAAAAAATAGTCTTAAATATAGGTAACATATTTATTGTTGCTTTCCCCTTTGTCATTGTTTTCTAGAGACCCACAAGCATTGAACTATTTTCTACATGGACCTAGTAATAAATCTGTAAGTAATACTTAGCACATCGCAGATATAACTTTTGTTTCTTCTTTACGGTTCAAGTAATCACTGTGTTGAATTTGTACCTTTGCAGAGCAATGATGACTTGACTAATGCAGGATATTCTGCAGCCAATTCAAATTCAATTTTCGCCAACTCTAGTGTGAGTATTAGAGACTGAATGCAGTGATCAAGTGTTTCTGTCTCACTGATGCCTGTGAATTGAGGTTTTACCTTTGTATCATGATGAGAGGTATTACCTTGTCTTTTGTAATTGACATAGAAGGAAAATCTACTGAATTATGTTGACGTTTTCTGCTTTTAATTTAGTCAAGATAAGCTACTTGAGATTTACTGTGCCATTTTCCTAGGCTTTCAACTTTCTTTTTAAACTGACTCAGAAGTGTTATAATCTAAGAAAGTAGTAGTACAATGTTTTGAACCTCGTTATGTAGCTTTAAATAAACTATTCTTAATTGTAGTTACTTGCTAAATATTTTCATCTTAAACAAGAAAAAAGTGACTGAAACTTACTGATCATTTAGTATGTTCATGGCACTGACCATTTAACATAATTAACTTCATTAATATTCACAATAACTCCATGAAGTAGGTTCTGTTATTATCCTTATTCTATCTGTAGATGACGAAACTTTGCACAGAGAGCTTAGTGCCCCCCCACCCCAAATTACACAGCCAGGAGTTGCAGAGCTAGGGTTCTAACCAGGCCGCCAGGTTCTGGGGCCCATATTCTCAAGTTCCAGGAGCATCTAGACAAGAAACCTGACCTGGAGGATAGGGAGTCCGGCCTGGAGACGATACCCCAATTACTATGTTTAAGCTATGGTACTTCAATTCCTAAGATGGTATCCGACTGAGACCACCTTAGTCCCATTTCAGCTATTGATTGGTTGGGGGTCAGATGAACCAGTCTTGGCTTTTCTGTGTAGTTCTCTGCATCATCTAGCCCCCAGCGCCTCGTTCGCCGAGGGCTGAGAATCTCCACAGTTTTGCTCGTTTGACCTCTCATTCTTGATGGATCTATTTTTAATTTTCTTCTTCTGTTAATTTTTTTTAATTTTAATTGTGTTAAATACATATACCATAAAATTTGCTGTCTTAATCATTTACCTGTACAATTCAGTAGTGTTAAGTGCATTCACATCGTCTTCACCTTATTTTAAATAGCTGTTGATTTCATATCTTCTTTTTAACAAGAGAACAAATTCACTTTTATTTCTTTACTTCTCAATAAATTTAAAACCTTGAGGGTTGCAGCATTACTTGGATTCTGTGTCCAGTGGCCTTAGCAGGAGGTTACTTCAGATTTGGCACAAGCCACATCACTGTTTCCATGGGCAGGAGTTGCTGTCCCCAGGTTACTCTGGTTTTGTTGTTTGCCACCAGGAGTCACTGTGCTGTTCTTTGCCTGCACACGTAGACAGAATTTAATTTCATCTAGAGCATAAATGCCTCAATTTTAAGAAGAACTGTGTGTGCCCTGGCTGGGTTGCCCATTTGGTTGGAGTGTCATCCCATGCACCAAAAAGGTTGTGGGTTCGATTCCCGGTCAGGATACATACTTAGGTTGCGGGTTTAATCAGGGTATGTACCAGAGGCAACTGATCAATGTTTCTTTCTCTCTTTGTCTCTCTCTCTCCAAAAATCAATAAAAAAACATATCCTTGGGTGAGGATTAAAAATAAATACAAAGAGCTGTGTACTCCCTGTGGTTCCAGAGACCCCACTTATAGCAAACATGGCCTTGGACCACACCCTTCACACATATTTGTCGTTATAGAAGTCCTGTTCCCAATAGACCTCCACAGGCTCCAAGATGATGGACAGAGTCCATACCTTTTCTTTTATAATTTCGACATGTCCCAGGAAACACTGTGGGCCAGTGGGTGTTTCTTATGTATGAGTGACTGTGTTCAGTTCTCGTCGTGTGCCTGGATTGTGGTCTCTAGTGGGGATGCCCATTCCTTAAGGACAGAAATGAACACATAAGTGGGTGCTTGACAAATAAAGGTTGACAGACTCACTTTTGAATAGGATGCTGAAATAGTTTATAAAGCATTATAATCAGCTGATTACTTCTAAAAAATTAAATGACCATTTACTCATTTTATGTAGGAAGCTTGTTTTTCCTGGACTAGTCTTGCCTGGGTGGTGGGGGTTAGAACTGGGGGAGTTCTGAGAAACCTTGAAAGACAGGGCTGAATCTGGGATACCTTGTGGACCACTAGTAGAACAACGCCCTGAACTCCCCAAACTCACTTAGACTCCTGTTGTACAAAGGACAAGATATGGCTGTCTCCTCCATACACACCCACCCAGCCAAGTTCCACTTAAGCCTTGGACTGGAAGCAATCCTGAAAATTAAAGTCTGTGCCAGTATCTCAAAATATGATATTGACCCTGGCTAGTTTGCTCAGTGGTTAGAGCATCGGCCTGAGGACCAAAGAGTCTTGGGTTTGATTCCCGGTCAAGGACACATACCTGGGTTGCAGGTTCGATCCCCAGCACTGGTTGGGGTAGTGCTAGAGACAACCAATCAATGTGTTTATCTCACATCAATGTTTTCCTCTCTCTTTCTCTCTCTCCCCCTCCCTCCCTCTCTCCCTTCCACTCTGTCTAAAAATCAATGGAAAAATATCCTCAGGTGAGGATTAACAACAACAAAAAAGCTAAACTTCAATAATGATCAGTATGTTCCTATTATTTATCTGTTTTCTATAAAATACTTTACCAGAGCAATAAATGTACATAATTACAAAAACAATGTTCAGCCCTGGTCAGCGTGACTCAGTTGGTTGGGCATCGTCCCATGTACCGAAAGGTTGCTGGTTAGATCCCTGGTCAGGGCACGTCCCAGTAGGGGGCATGCAGGAGGCAGCCAGTCAGTGTTTCACGCTCACATTATTGTTTCTGTCTCTCCCTTCCCCTCTCTCTAAAAATCAATTTTAAAATATTTAAAAAAATAAATAATGTTCAACATCATTTCTAAGGAAATACAGTATCAGAATAAGGTGAGCAGTTTGGAGAGTTGTGCTTGAAAAACAGACTATTGTGCTTCATTTGTATCTGAAAGTGAGATTGGTTTTTTTTATAAGAATCTCTTTCAAAGGTTGGATATGCCATGTAACATATTGCTGGGGTTTTTTTTGTTTTTTTTTAGAATGCTGACCCTAAGTCATCCCTCAAAGCTGTGAGCAGCCAGCTTGGAGAAGGGCCCAGTGATGGGCTGCCGCTTTCAAGTAGCCTTCAGTTTCTTGAAGATGAACTTGAGTCTTCTCCTCTTCCTGATCTCAGTGAGGACCAACCTTTCGACATTCTTCAGAAATCCTTGCAGGAGGCCAATATCACTGAGCAGACGTTGGCAGAAGAGGCATATTTGGATGCCAGTATAGGTTCAAGCCAGCAGTTTGCACAAGCTCAGCTTCATCCTTCTTCATCAGCATCCTTTACTCAGGCTTCTAATGTTTCTAATTACTCAGGTCAGACGCTGCAGCCTGTCGGGGTGACTCACGTGCCTGTGGGAGCATCATTTGCAAGCAATACAGTGGGTGTGCAACATGGCTTCATGCACCACGTGGGGATCAGCGTTCCCAGCCAGCATTTGTCCAATAGCAGTCAGCTTAGTGGTTCTGGTCAGATACAGTTAATTGGGTCATTTGGTAATCAACCTTCCATGATGACTATTAATAACTTAGATGGATCTCAAATCATATTAAAGGGCAGCGGGCAACAAGCCTCGTCAAATGTGAGTGGAGGGCTTCTGGTTCATAGACAGACTCCTAATGGCAACTCCTTGTTTGGGAACTCGAGTTCCAGTCCAGTAGCACAGCCTGTTACCGTTCCATTTAACAGCACAAATTTTCAGACATCTTTACCTGTGCATAATATCATCATACAAAGGGGTCTTGCACCAAATTCAAATAAAGTTCCAATTAATATCCAGCCAAAACCTATCCAGATGGGTCAGCAAAATACGTACAATGTGAACAATTTGGGAATACAGCAGCATCATGTGCAACAAGGGATCTCTTTTGCCTCTGCAAGCTCACCCCAGGGCTCAGTAGTTGGTCCGCACATGTCTGTGAACATAGTAAACCAACAGAACACAAGAAAACCAGTCACCTCACAGCCAGTGAGCAGCGCTGCGGGTAGTATCGTCATTCATTCTCCCATGGGCCAGCCTCACACACCCCAAAGTCAATTCCTCGTACCTACAAGCCTTTCTGTAAGTTCCAACTCGGTACACCACGTCCAGACCATAAATGGGCAACTTCTTCAGACTCAACCTTCTCAGCTCATTTCTGGCCAAGTGGCTTCAGAGCATGTAATGTTGAACAGAAATTCTTCCAACATGCTCAGGACCAACCAACCATATTCCGGACAGATGCTCAACAACCAGAATACCGCCGTCCAGTTAGTGTCTGGGCAGACGTTTGCCACCTCTGGAAGTCCAGTGATAGTCAATCATGCCTCCCCTCAGATTGTTGGTGGACAGATGCCCTTGCAGCAGGCATCACCAACAGTATTACACCTATCACCTGGGCAGAGCAGCGTCTCCCAAGGAAGACCTGGTTTTACCACCATGCCCTCAGTGACAAGCATGTCAGGACCTAGTCGGTTCCCTGTTAGCTCATCCAGCACTGCCCATCCTAGTCTTGGGTCCGCGGTTCAGTCGGGTGCATCGGGATCAAACTTTACAGGAGATCAGCTGACCCAGCCAAACAGGACTCCAGTACCGGTCAGTGTGTCTCACCGTCTTCCAGTTTCTTCTTCCAAGTGTACCAGCACCTTCAGTAACACACCTGGAGCGGGAACCCAGCAACAGTTCTTCTGTCAGGTATGTTCCCTTTATCAAGTGAATGCTTAGATGATTACAAATGGAGAAGTGAAACTTGTACTTAATAGAATATAATGTTTATGATAGACTTCTGATTTAGAATTCATTGCCTTTTCCCCCTTAATTAAAATATTTTATCTGGCATAGCTTTGTGGTTTAGAGTGAGACATACGACTTGAATCTACACTTTATGACATGGAGCAAGTCTTACCTTAACTTACTTTTCTAGACTTAATTTTCCTCATCAGTGAAATGGACATAATAATACTATTATTTGTATTATTTGGAGGGTTAAATGAGATGATCCACATAAAGCAAACAGCAAATATTCAGTAAGAGCCTAAGTTAATATACAGCAGGTCCTTGGATAACATGGTTTCGTTCAACATTGTTTTGTTACAATGATGAGTTGCTGGAGGAACTTAACTCTTGCATATGTCAATTAGCCTATGGTAAAACTGGTTTCATTATACATTGTTTCACTAAAAACCCCAGAACCTATTAACAACATTAGATGAGGACTTACTGTATATACTTGGTCGAATATATTATGGGCATTTAAAATGAAATCTTAGCCCTGGCTGGTTTGGCTCAGCAGTCAGAGCATCAGTCTGCAGAACCAGAGAGTCCCAGGTTTGATTCTGGCTAAGGGCACGTACCTCAGTTACGGTTCGTCCCTGGCCCCAGTTGGGGTCGTGTAGGTGGCAACCAGTCGATGTGTCTCTCACACTCCAGTGTCTCTCTCTTTCTCTCTCTCCCCCTTCCTCACTTCCACTCTCTAAAGCTCAGTGGGAAAATATCCTCAGGTGAGGATTAAATATATATATATATTATTTCAGAGTATTTACTTACACATCATACCATTAGGTCATATGACCATGTACTGGGTGGAGAAATTATGGCTGGTTCTTGGGTGCCAGCCGGAAAGGCCCGGGGACTCAGTGTGACTCAGTGGTGAATGATTGGTCTGCACCAGGAGTGCACATAGAGGGACACATCGGGCACTGGCACTGGACCGTACCAGAGCCCGCTCCTCCCATGCCATTGTGTAGGTAGATCACTGTGGGCCATCAGCTAAGCCGAATAGGGTTATGTTTGTGAAAAGAGCCTCAAATGACAGTCCTCACTCCCCTCTGCCATCCTAGCTTTTGGTTCCCAGCCATTGTGAGCGGTTCCTTAGTTCCAGCGCCACACCCGCTTTCACCCCATGGTCTGCCCTCCTAGGTCATTCCCAGCGCCTCGATCCTCCACACTTAGAGGTATGCAGAACCTCTCTGTACCGTAGGCATCGATACATTTTAAACTGTATACCTTTGATTTAGTCATTCCACCCAGAATCCTAAGGAAGCAAAGATTATTTATGATCAAGGATGTTCAGTGTATTACTTTTGGTATCAAAGGGATGCATGTGCACGTGTGTGTGTGTGTGTTTTAAAATAAAGTCAGCCTGCCCGGGCTGGTTTGGCTCAGCAGACAGCCCGCTGACCAAGGAATCATGGGTTCGATTCCAGTCAAGACACGTACCTGGCTTGCGGTCCGGTCCCTGGCCCTCATTGGGGTCGTGTAGGAGGCAGCTAGTCGATGTGTCCCTCTTACATCGATGTGTGTGTGTGTGTGTGTGTGTGTGTGTGTCTGTCTCTTTCTCCCACCCTCCCACTCTGTCTGAAAATAAATAGAAAAATATCCTCGGGTGAGGATTTAAAAAAAATAATAATGTCAGACTTATAGAAAAGTTAAACTTGCAAGAATGGTATAAAGAATTTTTACATACTCTTTACCAAGATTCCCCACATTTTTACCACATGTGTTTTATTATTCTCTCTCTCTCTCTCTCGCTCCCCCTCTCTCTCTCTCTCACATACAGTTTTTTGAGAGTATCACTGCAAGCATGATGTCTCTTGACCCCTAAATACTTTGGACTTCAGTGTTTATTTTCTAAAAACAGAGATATTTCCCTATATAACTTTACTACAGTTATCAAAATCAAGAAATCAGCTTTATTACAATATTATCATCTAATCCACAGACCTTATTCAGAGTTAATCAATTTTCACAGTAATGTCCCTTTTAGCAAAAAAGAAGAAAATTATTTTGTGTTGTTTTTATGGTCTAGGATCCAATCCAGGATTACTGGATTTTCTTGTCACATCTTTATTTATTTATTTTTTTTATCCTCACCCGAGGACATTTTCCCATTTTTTTGTTCAGGTAGAGAGGGAGGGAGAGAGAGGAAGAGAGAGAGAGAGAGAAACATGGACGTGAAAGGGACACATCAAGTGGCTGCCACCCACAAGACCCAACCAGGGCCGGGGACAAACTGCAACCGAGGTACGCGCCCTTAGCGGGAACCGAACCCGGGTCTCCCAGGACCACAGGTCGACGCTCTAACCGCTGAGCCAAACCGGCCAGGGCACTTGTCACATCTTTAAATCTGGAACAAATTCTCTATCTTTCCTTGTCTTTCATGCCCTTTATATATTTTTTCATGCTTTTTCTTTTTTTAAATGCCTTTTATATTTTTGAAGAGCACAAACTATTTTATGGAATGTCCCTGAATTTGGATTTCTCTGATATTTTCTCATGATTAGATTTAGGTCATACATTTTTGGTAGGATTGCCAAAGAAATTGTGTGTCTTCATAATGTATACTTGTCCCATTCCTGGTGATGTTAACTTTGAACACTTGCTTAAGATGGTGTCTGGTGCATCTTAATAAGTCTCTTCTGGAAAGTACTGTGATACTGTGTAGATATCCAGTTCCTTATTCGATTTGCATACACTAGTTTAAGCTTCCATTGATAATTCCTGACTGAATCAATTATTACTGAATCAGCTATTATTATGATGGTCACCAAATACAGATTTTCTAATTCCATCACTTGTTCTGCATTAATTGTGGGCATTGGAATCTAAGCAAAAGTTTTTTCTTCTCCCCCTTTTACTTATATATTGATATCATTATGGATTTGTAGATTCTTATTTTATTCAATGAGTTATAAATTGTTACAATCATTTATTTTGATCCTTATTTTATTTTATTTATTTATTTATTAATATTTTAATTGATTTTTAAAGAAAGAGGAAGGGAGAGAGAAAGAGACAAATATAGATATGAGAAACATTGATTGGCTGCCTCCTGTATGCCCCCTACCAGGGATCGAGCTCCAAAACTCAGGCACCTGCCCTGACCAGGAATTGAACCAGCAACCCCGTACATGGGATGACGCTCAACCAACTGAGCCACGCTGGCCAGAGCTCAATGCTCAGTTTATTTTGATGGCCAGTGGGCACCCGTCCAAATTGGCATTGAGCACGTTCTTTAATTTCTGGCAGAACAAGATGTTCCATGTCCATCTTTTACTTTGCCTGCCCCTGCCCTGAAATCAACCATTTCATAAAGGAGCAAGTTCTTCTAGTAAAGAACAGTATTTAGAAAACAGATCTCAGCACTACATCCTCATTGCTACTGAGGTGTTTCAGCTGGGATTTATGTACATTACACATGCCCAATATCTGTAACTATTTATTTATCTACCAGCCTATATTATATAGTCCATGTTGATACTTCCAGTTCTAATCCGGACCACAGCGTTCATTATTCAAGTCTCCTTCTTCATACTTGTAACTCCCTTTCTAGCAATGAGAAAGCCAGCTCTGCAATGTGTTTACTTACCTGCTTAATACTAGAACATAGTGAAAGTAATTTCAGAATTGCTAATCGATGCCACTGTGAAAAACAAACCTCTTATTAGACTTTGGTGTTGGTTTACAGTTCTGTCTTTAGCCTAAAGATACATATATAGTCAAACTGCTGTGTTCAAAAATTACTTCGGTTACTTCTTTTTTTTTTTTCCTCCCTTCGTATGCTATTCATTTGCAATATAGTTCTGTTTATATTTCATTTTAGGATTCTTACCCCACTATCCTTATTGATTTTATCTGTTTAATTTGTTTTGAATACATCACCATTCGCATGGCCCCAGAAGTCAGGTCTGAGCAGTCTCACTCCCAGTCCTTCCTCGCTGCCCCACCCCATCCTTTCCTGCCAGTTGTCACCCTTCCCCTAGATTCATCAGTCTCATTAGTTTCTAGTTTATTTATCCTGCTATTTTTATACAACTAGGCAGGTATATATATATTCTTGTTTCCCCTCTTTTCTTACTCCAAACAGAGCATAGATACTCTGCAACCAAAGTAATGCAAAAAATTTTTCTAAAAACTCAAATGTCGATTGGGTATGATGAAGTGTAATATGTAGCCATTTAAAATGTTTTCTTTGGCCCTCTTCGGTTTGGCTCAGTGGTAGAGCGTTGGCCCGCGGACCAAAGAGTTGCGGGTTCAATTCCAGTCAAGGGCACGTAGCTTGGTTGCAGTTCAGTCCCTGGCCCTGGTTAGGGTTGTGCAGAAGGCAACCAATCGATGTTTCTCTCTCTATTTCTTTCTCCCCCACTCTATCTGAAGATAAAAATGGAAAAAAGTATCCTCGGGTGAGGATTTAAAAAAATAAAAATAAAATGTTTTCTTTGCCTGGCTGGTGTGGCTCAGTGGTTGAGCGTTGACCTATGCACCAAGAAGTCACCGGTTCAATTCCTGGTCAGGGCACATGCCCAGGTTGTGGGCCTGATTCCCAGTGGGGGGCATGCAGGAGGCGGCCAGTTGATGTCCTCTCTCATCAGTGTTTCTAACTCTCTCTCCTTCTTCCTTTCTCTCTCTCTAAAAATTAATAAAGAAAAAATAAATAAATAAAACATGCAATTGGTAAAAATTAAAAACAATTCCAAAATAGTTTAGAGTGAAAGTCAGTCTTCCTTCCCCACGTTTCCCTCCCAGAGGCCAACACTGTTTCTGGGTTCTGTGTATTTTCCCAGAGAACACAAGCAAATACTAGCACCACTTGAGGATAATTTTAGATCAGTATGTATTGATCTGCTTTGTGTTTGTTATTGTAATTAAGTATACCTGATCAGCCACAGCATGGTCATTGCTTTTCTTTCCCTTCC